ACACACACACACACACACACACACACAGAGAGAGAGAGCGAGCATGTGCTGCAAGCTGAACCCAGGGTCTCACAAGGGCACATTTCCACCTGGGAGGTCTTTAAGGCCCTCCTTAAGGGTGATTTGGGATTTCCTCCTTAAAAGCCAGGCATGCCTGAGACTAAGTGCTTGGTTCTGCTTTGCGGTCTTGGATATTTGAAGTATTCTTTTTTTTCCCCTCTCAGCTGTTCAAGGAGTTGACAGTCACAAAGGGCTTCCTTTTTGCAAGCCCATTTATTGCCACTGTTTTTTGGTAAGTAAGTGATTTCCTGAGCTGCTTGCCTTAGGGCCACTGTCTGAAAGTGATGAACTGGGGGTACCAGTCTCCTTTCTCTTCTATGCATTACACTTTGAATTTTGCTACCCTTAAAAGAACATCCAGTACTGTAGCCTCCAGGCTGAGGGCTATACATGGAAAGCAGTGTGCCCAGTGGGGTGAGCATGGTGCATGGGTGAGTTGGCTGAGCAGGTACCTTCTCCACTCCTCTGCTCTAAGGTGGACCTCTGTGTCAATATGCTGGAGGCTCTCATACCTTTGTGTACATCCATACACACACCTTTCTGCTGTCTCAGAAGGATGTAGCTGCCAATGTAACTGTGGGCTGTGGGTATCTTCTGAGTTGCCTGGAGAGGCAGTGGCAGGTGGACATGGACCCTTCTGCTCTCTGGTGAAGGCAGGGGCATGGGAAGCCTTGTGCTGGGGCTCTGGTAACTCTAGGAGCCTCCTGGGCTAGAGAAAATGGAGCTCAGGTCTCATACTGCCATGTACTTTAAAGGAACATTGACTTAGCCAATCAACACACTGTGGATTTGCCAAAGCCCAGGACCAACCTGGGAACCCTATAGCATTGGTTTTTTTGACTCCTTGGTTCCCCTAGTTGGTGTCTTCCAAATGTTCCCTTGGTTGGCCATGTGGAGCAGTTCTGGCAACATGCTCTGTGGAACATGCCTCCAGTTGGCTTGTCCAGTGTTTTCTGCTGGTTAGACTTGAGGCCATAGGCTTGGGGACAATCCCCCCACTGGAGTTTTCACCTAACACTCACAGTATCCTGTGTCATCTGGTTAAGGTGTGTCTGCCAGGCATGTATCCATGCTGGTCTCTCAGTTTATACCCGAGGGGAGAAGGACCCCATCCCTGATTAAGGAGTAGTGATAGCTGCAGTTACTCCTTGGGAGTTCCTCTGGGAGGAAGATGTGTATC